CGGGACTCCTGTCCTAAAGACCTCTCAACCCTGAACCCCAGAACAGTGGGGTTTATAAAAGCGAGTCTACCAACTGGGACAGGTTCAGTGGATTGAACTACTGCGGAACTACCTCAGGCATAAAACAATCACTAACGTGGAAGGCTTTGCTGCTGTATCAGGTGAAATTCATTCACTTGCAATACTTTCAGCAGATTACCCTTCTTTGATCTATGCAATGCCATCTGCAAGATGGAAGTAGTGCTTGTTTCATATGTATTATGGTGATTAAAAACCAGTGCTAAAAATGCACAGTCATTGTATTTTGCAACTCAACCACTAGGTGGCAGTGAAGGTTTATAATTCTAACTTGGTAGTTCGCAAGCAAGTCCTGGCATCAGGACTGGCTGGCAATATATGCGAATTAAATCGCAGAACATTGGCTCCTGCAACGCAGGGTTTGGGCTTCTTCCATCCCATGTGGTAGATCCAAATGGGGGTGGGTGACCTCAGAGTTCTTGACTTCCGAAGGCACTCCATTTCCCCATGGTTTCCTTGGCAGTTGGGATGTAGTACTTGGTGCTCGTACTGATGTCTTTGGTGTGGATCTGGGAGTCTTCAGGGTTGGGATACAAGCCTCCTCCTGTCCCCCTGCTCCATTCTGGGGTCTCCCCCCCGCTCTGTGCATATGACCTCCTGTCAAGATGTTGTTAGGATCGCTCCTGATTCCCCCCATATTCCTTTGTAGTTTTGCTATTGTCTAATGCAGATTCTAGTCTGCTGTCTATGAGTTACCAGTTATGATCCTGATAGGTTATACTTCCCATCTTCCTCACACCTTCTCGGGTGATGTAAGATTTCTCTGCTTTCCCTCCCCATTTCTGAGTAGCATAGGGCCTTGCAAGTATCTTAGGTTTTACAATTCTTTGTTGTAGATCTTAAGCAATCTGACTCATATCGATTGTTGGTTCATGGGTTACTTCACAATATCTTATTGCATGAGATACAGGCTGTTTGGGGTTGAAATAATATTGCTGTTTTTTGGATTGACATCATTTCATAACAGCCACATCATCATCAACAACAACAACAACAACAAATTATATCACCCTGAAAAAATAGCGCGCCACTGAGTAACCAGCACATGCGTGACAAAAAGGAAACACAGAAGTCTCTTGGGGAAAATGATGCCATCGTATACTTCATGAGCACTTGATGAATTTCTACAGTAAACTTCCTTCGGGACCAGGGAGAGGAGCTTTCTCTGGTCCTTTCCTGGTTCCGACTTTGGGTCCCCGCCCTCTCTTGTAATGACCATCAGGATCGCTCCAGAAACCCCTCAAAACAAACAAATAAACAAAAAAACTAAAATAGAGAACAACAAGGAAAGCCTAGACACAGACAGGAAACAGTCAGCGGGGATGCAGTTATAACTCACTGGATGGGATACATAGATTAGTTACTCCTCAGGGTATTGAAGATTTCTCTGCACACCCCTCCTAGAACTGTTCACCTAAACTGTTGACATACGTCTTGTTAGAGTTATAGAGTTAGACTCCCCAAAAAAACAGCCAGGTTCAGCAAAATCATGCTTCAACACTATAAACTGCTAAATACTAAAGTTAAAATAGACATGAGACAGCTGAATAGTAATCTGTAGCCATTTTAAGGTATATAGAGCCCAGTTGTATATAGACTAATGATTGAAAGGTTGATGTAGAAGTCACAGGGTGTGGTTCAGAACTTGCATTGGTTTTTTTTTTTCTTTTTCTTTTTTTCTCTTTTAACACATTGTATACTCAATATCATGTCAACTAATTCCATAACATTATAAATTGTTACGGATGTAATGTCGGGGCTTTTAATTGATCGAGATGATACTCTGCCGGCTCTACCTTCAGACCAGAGATGGTCTCCTCAAGAAACCATTGAACTTATCTGGACAATAAGATGCTGGATTTTATGCTTGGTGTATGCTTGCAATGAAAGAATCTCAACTGAATTTGAACTGTGGTAATGCAACAAGATGGAGGAATCCAGCATGGAGGGGGTGGGAAGGGGAGGGGGGAATCCCAGTGCCTATAAAACTGTGTCACATAATGCAATGTAATCAATAAAAACAACAAAAATGAAGAAAAGAAAGAAAAATTCGCAGAACAACTTAGATTTGCACTCTAGAAAGTTTTTATCCATGTGTTCATTGAGAAGCAGAGAGAGGAAAGAGAAGAGCTCCCCCACTGCCACTTCACTTCCCAAATGCGTAACTTCTCAGGCACATAACAGGTCACTTGTAGACAACAGATTCAAGATCAGACAACAGTAAAACTACAAAGACATACAGGGGGAATCAAGAGTGACCCTGACAACCTATTAACAGGAGGTCATATGCACAGAGCAGTGAGGGACCACAGAGTGGAGCAGGTGGACAGGAGGAGGCTTGTATCCCAAACCTGGAGTCTCCCGGATCCCCTCCAAGGACTATCAGTACGGGCGCCAAGGACTGCATCACAACTGCCAAAGAGACCACGAGGGACTGGAATGCCTTCGGAGGCCGAGAACTCAGAGGACATCCCCCCCTACCCCCGGACTTACCACATGGGATGGAAGAAGCTGAATCCTTCATCATAGGATCCAAGGCCATCGGAACAACAGCCAGGAAACCTGAGCGGTCTTCAGAAACAGAACACTAAACTCCCTTCAGGACTAGGGAGAGGAGCTATCTCTGGTTCTTACTTAGCTCCAACTCCGGGTCCCCACCCTCTCTGCAATGACCATGAGGGACGCTCCAGAGCCCCCCACTCCAACACACACACACACACACACACACACACACACACACACACACACTCACAAATTGGAATGGATAGGCAGAGAACAACAAGGAAGGCTTGGTCAGCATGGACTCACACACACCTTACTAGGTAGGACACGGGGATTAAGTACTCCTCGCCAGGTATGGAAGATTTCTCTGCACACCCCTCCTAAAACTGTTTCATACTTCAATTGTTGAAATGTCATTGAAATAGTTACAAAAAGTTGTTAAGACCTTACATCCAATTTTGACATATTGGTTGCTCAATACTTTGTCAATTTATCCCTTAATGTTATATATTGTTGCTGATGTTATGTTGGGGCTTTTAATTGACCAGGATTCTACTCTGTTGGCTCTGCCTTCGGACCGGGGAGGGTCTCCCCAAGAAGCCGCTGAACTTGACCAGACAATGAGATGCTGGACTTTATGCTTGGTGTATGCTTGCAATGAAGGAATCTCAACTAAACTTGAACTGTGGTTACACAAGGGGGGGGAGGAGCCCACCATAGGGGGAGGGTTGGGAGAGGGGTGGGAGGAATCCCAGTGCCTATAGAACTGTGTCATATAATACAATGTAACTAATATATATATATATATTTTTTTTTTTTTAAAAAGACCAAATAGACAAATATAAAAAAAAAAACTGTCATCCATTTACTTGAATTAAAAAGGGGGGCAGGTAGCAGCCATTAAACCTGGTGGTTGAAACTCGTGGGTCCTGTGTTAGAGGACCTGGATTCTAATCCCAGCTCTGGCTCCTGACCTCCCAAGGGAGACATGATGACTCCGGTCAGGGATTTGCATCCCTGCACCCTGTTGGAAACTGCATGAGGCTCCTGGCTGCTGGCTTTGTCCTGACCCAGCATCAACCATGGCAGACATTTAGAGAGTGAACCAGTGGACAAATGATCTCTCTTTCCAACTCTACCTTTCAAGTAAACAAAATAAATCTCATCTTAAAAAAATGAATTATGGGGCCCGGCGTGGTAGCACAGTGGTTAAGGTCCTCGCCTTGCACATCCGGGATCCCATATGGGAACCAGTTCTAATCCCAGCAGCTCCACTTCCCATCCAGCTCCCTGCCTGTGGCCCGGGAAAGCAGTCGAGGACGGCCCAGAGCTTTGGGACCCTGCACCCGCGTGGGAGACCCGGAAGAGGCTCCTGGCTTTGGATCGGCATAGTATCGGCCGTTGCGCTCACTTGGGGAGTGAATCATCGGATGGAAGATCTTCCTCTCTATCTCTCCTCTCTGTATATCCGCCTTTCCAATAAAAAAATAATAAATCTTTAAAAAAAAATGAATTACAGCAGACTATGATTGTCTAAGAGCCTCAACTGATACTTGTTAAGATATAGCAGAGAATTTCCCGTGCCTTTTATAAGCAAACAAGCCCATAAAATTGCTAGTTATCCAGAGTTGGTTTTCTTATTTACAATATGAAAATAATTCTCCGAAAGTTCTGGTAATAGTCTATGAAATGACACAGACACATTGTCTGACACGTGAAGAACGTTCAACAGCATCCTAGATGTTATATCATACAGATCATAATTGACTATGGTGCTAATTAGGGCACCGCGGAGCTGGACTGGAAGATGAGACTGGGGGAGGAAACGGGCAGGCAGCTACAGACTGAGCCCCACGAGGCCTGGAGAGACCGGAACGTGGAGGGGAAGATGGGATCGCTAATGTGTGATGATGACTCAGCGCAGAGAAACTTTCAGCAGGACCACTGGGCAATCCCCGGGCCAGCGACTCATCATAAAGAATTTCACGTCATCCAGAAAGCAGCCTGAGTGTGTGCCCGTGCCATTTCTGTCATCGGTGATTGCAGCAGCCCATAGAATTAGATCTCTCGGTTTCTGCTTTTCATATCAATAATTAAATCTTTTTAAATTACATAATAATAAAGGAAACAGAATCATGTCTCTTCCAGTCATCTTCCCATCATTTAAAATCCAGAGTAAATAGATATGTCAATTACCCTTGGATTTCTGCTATAAAAAGTTTTAAAAGTGCCATAAAAACTTCACCTTTTTATCTTAGATATACAAAGGCACCTGAAACATGGACAAACATGAATACAATAATTAATGAAACATTACATCATATTTACAAGCTGTTCATCAATAACAAATTGTATTTAACTTCCATACAAAAAATGTAACACAGGCAAACTTCTTTCCAATAAATTGTTTCACGCAGGTATATGCTTATAAATCTATTTAATTGTTCAGCTGTGCTAGAGAATACATACTGTGAAACACATATTTAGATTCAGTTACAAGAGATGATTTCCAATAGGAATGTCTTACAGTAACATCATTACCGAAAAATAAAATTTGTACCATCTGCTGCCAAGTCTGCATGCTATGTCAAAATATCATTTTTAATCATGCATTAAATTATGAACATCCCTGATCTCATCTTAAATTATTTTTTACAAATAGCTCCACAGCACAGTTTTCAACTATTTCTTTTTCTCAAAAAGGCGAATCACAGACCTATGATCACACATACATGTCCTCTACACAGTGAAACTTCAAAGAGAAGAGTACGGAACGTGCAAAGCTCTGGCTCTCCAAGGCGAAGGCAGGAAAAGAAAGGGGGGTGTGATTGCAAGATTTTATTTTGTTTATCGTGAGTTTTTTTTAGTTTTAGTTTCTCCCTTTGTCTATGTTTTGAAATGCTAGAAACGATCTTCTGAAAGAGGAATACCCTTTCAGGCATGAAACGGTTGCATCACAATGCGTGTGAGTGCAGACATGCAGTTGACCAACAGTTAACTGGTAAAGATGATACGGTTACTTATTCACTTTCCTTGAGGAGAATGATAAAGCTTTAGGACATCCAAATATATATATGTACACTTTGTTTTCCAATTCATTGGTAGCAAATTTATCAACATTCTAGATCCAAATGGAGAGCATTTCGGGAGCTGGCCGTGGTGCAGGCTGCCCTGAGTTAGTCAGGGTAGCAGGACTCCGGGGTCAGAGCTGCTTTCACCATCTTGATCTCTCCCCTGTGATAAATTGGGACCAGAGTCGAGTAGCACTTGTTCCTGTCATACGTGTAGCAGGTCTCAGAATAGCCGTCTTCTTCACACATGGTGCTCTGGCTGGCGGTGAACACCTGGTGATGCAGCTCCACTTCGGTAGGGTCACATTTTTTACAGCTGAAAGACAAAATAAGCTCGTTGGTCAATTCCCATCAAACGCTGTGTCGATGTCTGTGCTGGCAGGCGCTTCTTACAGAGTCAGTTCTTGCAGCAAATGCTGATTCCTTTCACAACCAAACAGCACTACGGCATGACCTCATTTGTGAGACTTGAACTTTTAGTGTATCAAAACACAAAATAAGCAATACAAAGACAGTATGGTGCTTTAGCTACATGCATCTACTTCTACTGTGTTAAAATTCATTCCCAGTTGTATATTTAAATACGTGAAAAATAGTAATAAGAAAGGAAGAATTCTTTAATAAGCTGCTTGATCTCAAATTATGTCACTTCCAAGGAAACATCCACATGTTTAAAAGCTAAAATTCACTTGCTGATTTAATAAAATAAAGTAGCCCTTCTGATTTAATAAAATAAAGTAGCCTTTCTTCTTTAGAATAAATTTGAAGCTAATTTTAGTCTGTGACAAAATTATATGAACTTGATATCTAATAATTAGCATAAGAATCAGCATATTCAAAAGTTCAGATTACATTGGTAAACATTTATATCCGAACATATCTTCAAAAACAAAGTTAAAGCTATTGACTTCCACATCTGTATTAATGTGAAGAAAAAATCTCTTACATGTCAGCCAAATTATACTCGAATTTGGTTCTCAATGGTGAAGTGGGGTCTGTGATGTTCTCCCTGGTGTTCAGAGGAACGCTACAAACAAGAGAAAAAAAAGAATGAAATTCAAATGTCATTATTTCGGATAATAGCTATCATTACATTTTAAAACTCTGTAGTAAACATGTTACTCCATTTGTGCAGTAATTTGCTCTATTTTTAAGTCTTTCCCACTTCAAGTAAATCTCAAGGCTGCTCTTCTGTAATTCTCTACAAACTTGGCAAACCCTGGTTTTCCTCTAAAAGTTCAGTTCAACGCTGTGATGACTTGTGAGATGACCTGGGTCCTATTCCACCCTTGAACGAACTCTCCCTCTAAGGTTCTTAAAGCTCCCATACAGGTATCGTAACAAAGGCTGTCTCATAGCTACTTGTCTGTGGTATGCTTGCTTCCACAGCTGTCAGTTCCTTGAAGCAAAAACATTTGTGTATTCTTAGTGCCTGGTTAGGTGTGTGGCATGTGGATGCTGTCCCATGCTTGTGGAGTAAAGATATGTCATGCCCAGCTCAGAGATGCAGGAACTGTCCAGCATCCACAACAGCTAAGGAGCAAAATTTTTCCATGTTAATGTCTCAGCAACAATTACATAGTAGTTATCAACTAACTCAAGTGATTTCATTAATCTTTAAATTTGCTTCATTGATGTCATCATCCCTTCTCATATGTACCTTCCCTGCCCAAAGAAATTTAAAAAAAAAAAAAGTGCTTCCTAACTCGGCATTTAGCAAAACCATTCACTCAGGGGTCTGAGCCAGAAACTTAGAGGTCCTCCCTTCTTCTCCCTCCCGCTGTGGCCTCCATCTGATCGGTCTCGCCATCCAGCTGAATCTCACTCCTTGGATGTATGAAATCTGTGCACCTGCCTCTTCTTGTTTCTCTTCTCTAATGTCACCATTCCATACCCCTCCTACACTGCAGCAATACCCTCTTTGTCTTGACTCCTTGGTTTTATTATTCCAAAAATGGCCCTCTGCAAGGCAAGCTAAATTTCCTTCTCTGGTTAAACCTGCAGCATTGCTCCACTGATGTCAGGGTGGCCACTTCATAACACACCTCATCTCTCACCACACCTGGGTGAATTACACAAACTGGGGCCCACATTCAGTGCAGCAATTAAGTCACTGCCATAACAGGTGGGAGTACCTGGATTTGACTCCCAATTTTGCTTCCAATTCCACTTTCCTGCTAAAATGCATCCTGGGAAGCAGCAGCTGATGGCTCAGGTCCTTGGGTCTCTGTCATCCCTAGGGGAGTTCCTGGCTCTCAACTTCACAGCCTAACCTGGCACAGACCCAGTTATTGTGGGTGGGCATTTGAGAAATGAAATAGTGGAATGGAGAGCTATCTCTGTCTCTTTGATTCTCAAAAGAAATGAAAGAAATAATCTCAAAAAGAAATTCCACAAAGTTACCATGTTTGTCTTATCTCCAGGTCTTAATGCTCAAGTCCTAACTGTGTCCCCAGGATTGAACTTGGTGCTCTTCCTCAGTACCTCTGTAACATCTATGCCTACTTTTGTCACAGGATTTACTGTATTGTTATAAACATATTTATTATATTATGTTATATGTTATATATTATATAAACATATTTATTTATTTGATAGTGACAGAGACAGACAGATCTTCTATCTTCAAGTTCACAGCCAACATGCCTGAAATAGTCAGGGCTGGGGAAAACCAAAGCCAGGAGCCCAGAACTCCACTTAGATTTCACACGTGGATACCAAGGAGCCAAGAACTTGGCCCATCATGTGCTGCCTCCCAGGATGGGCATCAGTAGGAAGCTGATGAAAGGGGTGAAAGTGGAAAAACTAGTATTTGAACCAGGCACTCTGATCTGGGCTATGGAGGTACTAAGTGCCATGTTCATCCACTACACCTCAACAGGTACCTGTAGTTGCCTTTTTAATTGTGTAAGATTTACTCTCAGTAAACTTGTTGATTTCATGTATTGTATTTAATAAAAACTGTTGTATCCCCAGTACCAATCCTTAATATTTGGCATTCATTAAAAAGATATTTATTGAATGTGAAGTGCACATATTCTTTATTAGATTAAAAGAACTGCAGCAAAAGGCTTTCAATAATGAGAAAGACAAGGGAACAGACATTTATGGGAGTCTACCATAAGCCAATCATTGTTCTTTTATAAATTTGGATATGTAACCCTGACAACCCTATAAATTATATGTGTGGATATTCATTTGAGAATCAGGGTCAATTTTGTAAAGTGGCTTCCCCAAAGTCACATCATTTTAGTAAGTGATGGAGTTGGGGATGGCACCACAGTGACACAGCAATCGTAGTGTGCTGCCAGAAGTGAGATCAGGGGAGACCGGTTTGCAGCAGGCAAAGTGGCGTGAAGTAACTGAACTACCTAACATCAGCCAGCATTATAAAATAATTCTTAAAAATCATGTCAAACTTTTTACATGGTGATCAGGGAAGGCTACTTTTGAGTATCTCCCTCTGAGAGCAGGTGTTTGGCTCGGTGGTTGAGTCGGCTTGGGATGCCTGCAGGAAGCATTGGAGAGCCTCGTTCACTCTGTTACCAACCCAGTTTCCTGCTAATGTGCACCAGGTGGGAAGTGACAGGTGGCAGTTCATGTACTTGGGTCTCTGTCACTCAGGAGATGCACACTGATCAGAGGGCTGTTGCAGGCATTTGGGGAGTGAGCCAAGGGGTAAAAGATCTCTCTCCCTCTCTTTTTATCTCTGTAATCTTCCAAAGAAATAAGTTTTAAAGCATTGCAATATTTCCCCCTAGTGATGTACACGTTAGATCAACTGTCTTCTTCAATATGGTTTAAATGCCAGAGTTATGCATTGATTCCTTCCAAGTCGTCTTCTCTGTCTTGTCTCTAACTGGAAGCTTTATAGGGAAAGACCTTCAAATAAATGATGGCTGAACTAAAATACATAGATGGGAGAGGAGATAGTCAGACAGAGAGGACCAGCAGAAAGCGTTCCTTAGAGGAACCCACAGGAAAGGACAGAAAGTACTTCAGGGTTGCTGAATGTTTAAACGTAAAATGGCAATGGATTGCCTGGGGAATTGTGCTAAGCGTGAGGCCAGGGTATTTGTAGTATGTCCTAAGAACAAGGTTGCTGAAATCATGAAAAGGACTTTAAGCTGGATAACGACATAGGAACTTGTACATAGGTTAAGTGAACAAGCAATAGCAAATAGTTTTGAATATGCAAACTCTAGAAGGAATAGCAAATCGCTAATCTCCATTATCTTTATACTAAACCCTTTGAAGTGGCCACAGTCCCCTTATTTAAAGATGGTAAGCTGCGGTGAGCATTGTGGTGTAACAGGTTAAGCTGCCACGTGTGACACCCACACCTGCAGTGCAATGTCAGGGTCTCGGCTACTCCATGCTTCCCATCCAGAGTCCTGCCAATACATGGAGGACACCGTAGACAGGCCCAAGGCCCTGGGTCCCTGACACCCACGTGGGAAACCCAGACAAAACTTCTGGCTCCTGCCTTCCTTCCTTCTCAGTTAATATAGCCTTCTCTCTCTCTCTCTCTCTCTCTCTCTCTCTCTCCTTCTCTCTTTCTTTCATGAAGCAATGAAATGACTAAATAAAAATCTTTTGTAAAAGATTAATAGGTTTGCAGTAATTAAAAAATTTATAGGAAAGAATTATTTCATGACCCAGTCACAACTTGAAACAAAGTTCTTCAAAACTTTTCCCACTGACTGAACGGGCATGAATTCTATGTTCTCTTTCTATAAGAAGGATTGATTGAGGATAAACTATTAAAGAAGGAGTGAGTCACAAGGAAGACTTATTTACTGACTAAATAGAAAAGTCATGTTTCAAATATTATTAGCATACTTACTATTGAATGAGAACTATATAGCCTGTAACTTCGGACTCCTCATTCATATTGGGAAATGAAATGAACACCTGACATCCAGTTTACAAGTGAACATTGAATCTAATTAGCCAGTTTGATCACTCTGCTGAATCTTCATGCAGATATTCAAGTGCGAGCTAAAACACTCAGTGGTCTGCCTGTGATGCAAAAGAAGGCTTTTCGTGGAATCTGAACTTTCAGTTTGAACTGGTCGAGGGCAACAAAAACTTGTGATTCAAATGAAAGTACATTACCGCAGCTCCAGCTGACCTCTAGTTGACCAGTTTCAGGTTGCCTGCAATTATCAGAATCTGCTCTCAATTCCTACAAAATTCCCTCTTACTCATGAACAAGACTGAACACATGTAAGCTGCTCCGGGGAGTTAAGATTCCAACAGGGAATTAAAGACACAGGTGTCACATTCAGGCAACCTTTAACTTCAGAAAGTATCTCTGCTTACGACAGCAAACAAAAGGAAAGGTGCCACGTACACAATCCGGATGTTCCTCTCCACAATGGTGCAGTTGGGGTTGTTGGGGTCAGGGACGATCTTGGACGTGACGCGGACGCACTTGCATTTGTTGTCGACCAGGACAGTGCTTTCCTCATCGTGAGCTTGAGGGGGAACAGACGGTGAGAAGAAAGGAAAATAAACTCTAGGCTGCACTGAATAAATGTACTTTTTTCCCCTCATAGGTTTTGTTGTTGGCCAGTCTCCTCTTTTTCCATTTATTTTCTTTCCTAACGTAAACGAGCTAAGTGGAGTCTCATACCATAGTGAAGGATATCCCAAGGCAATTTCCCTTTCTTCCTGGGGACAAGTCTATAAGAAAGAATCTGCTCTGGAAGAATTCTTATTTTCAGGGCCCAGCACTGTAGCTTAGCGGCTAAAGTCCTCCCCTTGAACACACTGGGATCCCATACGGGTGCCGGTTCTAATCCCGGCAGTCCCACTTCCCATCCTGCTCCCTGCCTTTCCAGTAAAAATAAAATAAATCTTAAAAAGAAAAAAGAATTCTTGTTTAGATCATGTTTGCAATAGAGACAAAGCTTTATATCTTTATAATCCAATTTGAAATGCCACATCTTCCTAACCTCCCATTTGTGCGCAAAATGTGTGTGTGTGTGTATACTGCTTTAACTGCATTATAGCTAAGAACAGGCATATATTTATTCCCGAGATAACCTTATTTTGTAGAACTTTTAAATATTCTCCACAACTTTCCTAATCACATTCTTTATTCTTTTCAACAAATTAACAATGTAATCCAATCAAGTTGAGAAAGGCTATATTTAGTAAGAATTCTTCTAAGAATGATTCTAAAAGATAGACTACATATTGAGTACTCTTTGGAAAATACTGTGTGGTGGAGGCTGGTGCGGCGGCTCAACAGGCTAATCTTCCACCTCCAAACACTGTCATCCTATTTGGGTGCTGGTTCACGTCCCATTTGCTCCACTTCCCATCCAGCCCCCTGCTTTGTGGCCTAGGAAAGCAGTAGAGGAAGGCCCAAGTCCCTGGATTCCTGCATCCATGTGGGAAGCCCAGAACAAGCTTCCGGCTCCTGGCTTCAGGTCAGCTCAGCTTCAGCCACTGAGGCCTGTCGGGGAGAGAACCAGCAGACGGAAGATCTTTCTCTGTCTTCCCTTCTCTCTGTAAGTCTGACTTTCAAATTAAATAAATAAACAAATAAATCTGAAATAGATATTGTGTAGTAGAGCTCAATATAACACAAATAAATGAACTGATACAAGAGTGACCGTGAAAGCCTTAAATTTTGAGCATCATCATGTATTGTCTAGGCCTTTTGAGTGTTACAAAGAATAAATTAAGGAAAGTTCTTATTACCTGAACCTGAACAGTGAACAGACTATTTGAAGAGTGAATAGTGTTAAATAAATAATAATAATGATACTACACATCATTTCATTGTTACAGGTTATTCCTGTAGTTTTAGCTGGCCTCTTCCCATTAAGCCTCAACTAAAAAACAAAGACGTGGGACACAAGTTCAATAACAAGGGTAAGTGACCAGATGGCTATCTTAACTGGATTTCTTAATTCCTCTGGAGTTGATTCCCAGAGCAGAGGCCCTCGCTGCAATACTGCAGGCTTCACAGCAGCCGTTAGGAAAGCATTTGGAGACCGGTCTTCTTGTACTAATTTATAATTGTCTCAAGTACTCTGTAGTGCACTTTTATGTTATTATTCATAAGTTTTTATTAAATCTCCTGACACAAGTCTCTATGCTATTAGAGAAGAAGCATTCCAGAAGCACTGACGATAATGACAGAACTTTGAGTAATGTTCTAAAAACAAAATGATTCAGACGGTACCCTCTCTCCTGCTTCTGCATCCACCAGCCTGAAATGCTTTTCTCCATGAAATACAGCAAAGAAATACATGACCGAAATATAGATTAAGAATTAAATAAGTGATTTGAATACTTGGTATTACATAGAAAATCTATTGTGACATACAATTTATCCCTCTCCAGAAACCAAGAAATATACTTTTGGTACCATTATTATGTAAGACTATAAGATAGGGCCCAGCACGATAGCCTAGTGGCTTAAGTCCTTGCCTTGAATGCGCCTGTATCCCATACAGTCGCTGGTTCTAAAACTGGCTGCCCCACTCCATCCAGCTCCCTTCTTGTGGCCTGGGAAGGCAGTCAAGGACGGCCCAAAGGCTTGAGACCCTGCTCCCATGTGCGCGACCTGGAAGAAGCTCCAGGCTCCTGGCTACAGATTAGCTCAGCTCTAGCCATTGCAGCCACTTGGGGAGTGAGCCATTGGACACTCTCCTCCTCTCTGTATATCTGCCTTTCCAATAAAAATAAATAAATATTTTAAAAAGATGTTTAAAAAAGAATATCAGGTAGTTCAATCTCACTACCAAAAAATGTACAGATACTCGGAATTTAGCAAGACATGCTTGAATTCTCTCACTGATAAGGCAGCATTTCTTGTAATAAGCCTGTTATTAGGAAATGTATTATACTTCATTCTAGGAACATTTGAAATACAGTATGCACTAAATAAATGTTACATTTGCTGCAGCTTTTAAAAGTAAGAAAGTAGGCATAACATACCAACGCATGCTAGATGCGACCACAATGCTTTTACTAAAAATGTCTTTACCAATATGTCTTTACTACAAGGTGACTCTCATGCCCATAGAATCAGAGTAACGGAGGAGTTTAGGCAGCAGTGTCATGTTGTCCGGGTTCTATCTGCCACTTGCTGTAATGTAACCTTCGCTAACTTATTTCACCTAAGTCTCAGCCACTTCACTTACACATTGGAAACAATAATAGGATCTATTCTCACATGAGTACTGTGAGAATTAATTGTAATACTACATACAAAGCGGCAATATAGTAGAACATAACATTTAATGAATGATACCTACTTTATATATTGCCATATTTATGTTTCACAGATATACATTTATAGGCTATATGGTTATAAGTGTATTATGTATGAATATATGATATATACATACATGTTGTATATGGTTTCTTATTTATTTGCTTATTATAATATGCTTATGTTGCCTTATTTTATGTGCTATTTATGGTTTATTATATATGATTACATGCATTACATATGCCTTATTCTTATATTATTGTAATAGACTTTACATGTAATTATTTTCTGTATTTTTAAAATATCATTCAAAACCCATTATTATTAGTGCTTAGTATTAAAATATATCTAATTATTATTTTATATATGTATTTTAGTTATACTTATTTTGCAAGGCAGAAAGACAGACAGAAAGCATGATACGAGGAGATTTTCCAGCTGCAGTTCACTCCCCCAAATGCCCATAACAGCCGGGGCTCAACCAGGCAAAATCTAGGAACAGGAACTCCTCCTAGGCCGCCTACATGCAGAGGACCCATCTATGAGCTGCCACCTGCTTCCTCCCAGGCTGCCAAGAAAATGACTATTCTTCTGGATATTTCTATCATTCTCTTCCCTGAAATAAAAATAGGCTCAAATTATATCACTTCTAATTCATGGGCCCTTCTAAAAGAAAATCATTTAATACCCTGCTTCTATATTCAGAATCTATTCTATTTTCTACAGTTGTGTGACAAATCAATGAACAAAATAACAGAACACCAGCCAGCAAGTTCTAAGCAACCTGTACACGCTAAACCTTGCTAACAGGCAGTCACAAATCCATGGCTCTGAGTCAAGACGGTTGTCAGGACCGATAGCAGTCTCTCTGGAGAAATAAAACCCAGATATAACCTATGTTTTACTTATAGTTATTATTATTTCAGTTCCTCAGAATATTAAAGAGACTCAAGGGAAATATTACTTGTTTTTGAGTCAATATGGACATTGAAATAAATCTGGCTAGTCATCCGGAAATAACTGCTTTCTTATTCTATAAGTTGTAACACGGAGAGCCAAAAAAAAAAAAAAAAAAAAAAAAGAAGGTTAGGAACCTCTGGGTTTATATGGATGGATCATGGACCAAGAAAGTCCAAAGCATGTTACACAGCAGTGGCTGGCCCACTGCTCAACCAAAGCATGCCCATAAATGTTTCAAATCTGAAAAGCAGATCCATGCCATATTGTTCCTCTGACTGGAATCATCTTCTAAATGCTACATACCTGTGACAAGAACAGCCTTAACAAAAATGGCCAGGACGCCCCAGAGAAGCAAACGGTTCTTCATCTTGACTTCCTTCTTTTGAAAAGCTGTAGCCAGAAAGTCGGTCGGGGTTAAGGTGTGTGTTCGCTAAGGAGTGTGCAAATCATGCTGTTTCTGCTTTCCTAAAATAGCCCTCCTGGCGAGTAACAAACTAAAAACACTCACAACTGCGGTTGAACCCTGAACTTGAAAGGAAAAAAGCATGATTCATGGTTAAGTTGCCCTTGCAAGGTCTTTCCCCCTAAAAACAAAACCCATCATGATTTGATGCAATTACTTCTATTTCACACTTATGTTATAGAAATGTGTAAACTACCATGTTATTTCAACTCAGGAGTCCATAAAGATGCTTAAGTAGGAAAATTTTGGGCTTATTAATAAGAGATATTAATACTCAGCTTCCAGTCAAATATCTCACATTTGTTGTACCTGGAACAATAACCGACAGGAAGGGAAGACATGGAATGGGAACAGGGAATAAAGAAAGATTCCATTAGGTTCCAAATGGACCTCGTGTTAATTTCTACTAGTATTCCTTAATTAGTCAACCCAAGGGATTTGAATTTAAATAAAAATTCTGATTACTTTTAGCTACTTTATAAGCTCAAACATAGAGTTGAAATTATAAATTCTCCAATACTACATGATTTAGTTGCCATGTTCTCACTGGATAACATTAAGACAGATCTGACATCTGCCCATCTGATAACACCTTTTAGAATTGAAATTCCATGTAACAATCGATATTTGAGATGCCACAGTAGAAAACCAAATCACTACAGTTTTGTGTAATTTTTTTATCTAATTAAAAAAATAGAACTTAAAAATGTAGCATTTGGGGACACGGTGTGGCAGCCTAGTGACTAAAGTCCTCGCCTTGCAAACACCAGGATCCCATTTGGGCATTGGCTCATGTCCCAGCTGCTCCACTTCCCATCTAGCTCCCTGTTTGTTACCTGGGAAAGCAGCAGAGGATGACCCTGCAACGCATGTGAGAGGCCTGGAAGAAGCTCCTGGCTCCTGGCTTTGGATAGGCTCATCTTTGGGGCCACTTGGGGAGTAGATGGAAGCCCCTTCTTTCTGTATATACTTTTCCAATAAAAATAAATAAAATTTTTTAATGTAGCATTTGTACACAGAATACTCCTTCCCCCAGATTCAATATGCTAGAATTTGCTAACACTTATGCAAAGTTAGTTCCAAGAATATGCTGGTAATATTTATAATGTAACTGTACCAAATCTGGGTTACCCTTTGTTCCCAGTTCTATTCTGTTTTTTAATAATTATTTTATTTTTATTGGAAGGTCAGAAACAAAGTAGAGGAGAGACACTCACACGCAGCCACAATGGCTGAGCTGTGCTGATCCGAAGCCAGGAGCCTGGAGATATGGGATCCTGGCTCGTGCAAGGTAAGGACTTTAGCTGCTAGGCCAATATGCCAGGACTTCCAGTTCTATTCTTTTAAATGCTTCATAGAATATTAAGAAGTAACAAAGACTACTTTGGGTTGAAAGGTAGGTAAGTGGATTTCATAGCATAGCATATTTGAAGGAAATGTCAGAATGAAAGAGGTGTTAAAAACTAGTACATAAATGTACTCATCTAAAGAATATGTGTTGAGGGGATGACGTTTAGGCACAGCAGGTTAAGCTGTGGCTTGGATCATCCACACCCCGTATCAGAATGCTGGCTTGAGTCCTGGTTGCTCTGCTTCAAATCCCACCCCCAGACAATGCACCCTGTGGGAGGCAGCAGGTGGCTCAAGCACGTGAACTCTTGTCACCCACGCAGAACCACATGCAGTACCCGGCTCCTTGTTTCAACTTGACCCAGCCCTGGTTGTTGGAAGAACTTAGGGTGTGACCCAGCAAAGAAAGACCTCTCTCTCTCTCTTTGTCTCTCTGCCACTCTGTCTTTCATAAATAGATAGAAAGAATAGATAGATAGAAAGGATTAGATAGATAGATAGATAGATAGATAGATAGATAGATAGATAGATCGATAGATCGATAGACAGACAGAATAGGTAGATAGATGGACAAGACAGGCATGCATGCACATATATACATAGAGAGAAAAATAATATGAGCCAGTGTTGTGAGGTTGTAGGTCAAACTGTCACTTGTGACACAGCCATCCCATACAACAGCCACAGCTTGAGTCCCAGATAGTCATTTCTGATTCAGTTTCTTGCTACTGTGTCTGGAAAGGCAACTGAAGATAACCCAAGTGCTTTGGTCCCTGACACCAGGCCACACCCAGATGGAATTTTCAGCTCCTGACTTTAGCCTGTCTCTGATCTGCCTGGCTGCTGTGGCCCTTTGGGAAGGGAACTAGTGGGTGGAGGATATCTCTCACACTATACACAAATACACAAACTTTCTTTAAAAGAGTATATATTGAGGGTGCAGCACAATTACCTGGTGCCTAAATCCTTGTCTGGCACATGCCAGGTTCCCATGTAGGCACCATCCAAGTCCCTGCCTATGGCCCGGGAAAATAGCAGAGGATGATCCAAAGCCTTGGACACTGCACCCACATGGGAGACCCCGAAGAAGCTCCTAGCTCCTGGCTTCAGCTCAGCTCCCACGGCTACTTGCAGAATAAGCCAATGGACAGAACTTTCTCTCTGTATCTTCTTTCTGTAAATCCGACTTTCCAATAAAAAGCTTTTTTAAAAGAATACTTATTGAAGCTCTAACAAGAACAAAGTGCCAAGGCACTAGAGCATGTAGGAATATTTTACTGCTAAAGCTTATTCTCATTTTAATTGCTACTATCTATAGGACCTAGAAAATATATGGATTTAAAATAAACACACTAGAATCACATGAACAAGTTTGTCTATTAGAAAAAGAAACAGATCTGAAAGCATATTATTTTAGTTTGTGGGCAGGATGTCAAACAAATATAAACCACTCTGAATTTTGCTTACATCAAACTATAGTTTCTAAATAAATGGCTTACTCTACCACTCTGAAACAAGCAAAGGTATATTTAAGTTATCTGGGTATTTTTTACAGTCATTATTTCCTTGAAAATAAACCCAAAGTCAAACTACCTGCCCAAAACAAGCTGGATAAAATATTAGGAACAGATTAATGCTACTCTAAAAGTTTCTTTTTTATAAAATAAAATCTTATAATAAAATTGTGTAATTTAATAATTACCAACCTAAAACAAAGCTCTATATTTGATGTTTCTTTACTTTTAACCTCAAATGTTTGAATTTCTGTTTTGTAAACTACGTATCTGAAGGATGTATATATATTACACCAGAAGAGTCACTTCCGTGCAATGTAAGATCTGGGCCAGTGTTCTGCCTTTGTTTGCTTTTATCTCTCTAGAATCGCTTAAAATACAGACTTCTAACCTACCTTCAGTCACAGTCACAGAGTATGCAGTCTTGAACTTTCAAAAAGCAAATGCCGGAGCATTTAGCACAGCAATTAAGGTGACTGCGTCCCAATGAGAGTGCCTGAATTCAAGTGTCATTTCAACTCCTCTTCCAAGACCAGTATTCTGACTGATGAATATTCTGGGAGACAGCAGATAGTGGCTCATGTGCTTAGGTTCTGGCTACCCACATGGGAGGCCCAGATGAAGTCCCTAACTCCTAGCTTTGGCCTGGATGAGACATAACTGTTGTAGGGATTTGGGAAGTCAACCAGTGGATGGAAAGTTTCTGCTTATCTGTCACCCTGCCTTTCGCCAACCTTCTGGCTCACTCTCTAAAATGCCTGTAGGACAGGACTGGGGTAGAACAAATCCTAAGCCAGAATCTCAATTCAGGTCTCCCACATGTGTGGCAAGGGCACAAGTACTTGAGCCATTCTCCATTGTCTTTAAGGCATCTTAAAAGGATGCTGGGCCAGAGGCAGAGCAGTCAGTACTCCACCTGGCACATTAACATGGGATGCAAGCCTGCAAGTAACAGATTAAGTCACTGTACCACAAACCAAGCCCCTCAGCATTCATTTGAAAACTGCCTGAAATATGTGGGTGCCTCACCCCCCTAGACGTGACTTACCATATATATCTTGGGCTATTCAAATCATGAGGAGATGACATTTCCTTCTATCTCACCCGTGACTCCTCAGTGTCTTGCTGACTTTTCCTCTGAATATTAAGAGCATCAAGGCTGGGTCTCCTTGTCTTTACTCCTGTCTTCTTCATGATTAATTTCATTTTGTCCAATGGCTCTGAATACACAAAATGGTAAAGCCTTTAACATTACTCATTGATCTCCAAATTTCTATATCCAACTTTTAATTGATCTCTCCACCTGATTGTCTTACAGGACCTAAAACTTATCCAGGTGAAACAGCATGCTTGATGAACAATACAGCCTCACATTCCAACACCAAGCTTTCTGTCTCGTGCCTTCCCACCCCTCCCCTGTAAATGATGCCTCCATTGCCCTGTTTGCTCAAGTCAAAACCCTCTTCTTTAATTCCTTTCTTTTTCTTGTCCTCCACATTTAACCTACCAGCACTTACTGCTGGCTTTAGCTACCTAACACAACCCACATTAATTCAATTCTCTCCATTTTTTACTACCATGCTAATCCAAGCCTCCATTCCCTTTCCTGGACTTCTATAGTAGATTCTTTAACAAAAAAGTAACTGCCTTTGCCCCACCATTGACAACTAGAGAACACAGTTGACAAAGACCAAAGAACAAGTACCCCAAAGTCTAAAGTAAGTCAGAGCTCTCCTCCAAGGATTAACAACAGGCAACTGCAATGCCACTGGCTTCCATCAACCACCATCCCACCATGCCTGCAAGCCCCTTCAGACAACTATGGAGGGAAACAGGGAGTCATCCTGGAAGTTGTTGCCCTGTGTAGTGATGCTTCTAAAAAGAGATTTCACATTTCATCTTTCCCCTTTTCCCTTGGGAGAGGCAAAGGCAGGGGACGTTTCCTCTCCCTGAAGTCAACTGAGACAGAATTTCCAGAGCATCACTCAAAGAAATCAAGGATCCCCCTCCAAAAAAAGCCAGAAATAGGGAAATAATAGAGCACAATAAGAAAAAGAACCCTGAATGGATTTATTTACCAATTCTAACA